GCGGGTCCAGGGGGCCCCTGGAAGGATCGGGGAGGCATTTAAATGCCTCCCTGTGCCTTCCCCAGCCTCCCAGGGGGGGGGGCCTGCCCAGGCAAGCCAAGGGAAGGCATGGGGTGTGGCCTAATATGCTAATGCGTTTCTGCTGTTGAGTGTGGCCTGTTCTGCTAATGAGTTCCTGCTGGGTTTTTTCTACCAAAAAAGCCCTTCCGCAAGTGATGTCATCCTGTCCAGGACATCAGGGCAAGACTCTGCAGGCAGAAACTCTGCAGTAAATTTGGCTTCTACAATAGAGTTTTTGCCCATATACCTGACAAATCACCCTGACATCCTGGATGTGACATCCTGTCAGTGATGGGCAGTGACATAGGCAAGTTGCTGCATGTTGGATAGATCTCCTGCTTTTTCAGGGTAAGTCCCACCCCCGGCTGATCAGCTGATTGGTGGTGAGGAGGTGGGGCCTGTCAGCGGGGGACTCCAACCTCCAATGGGGGGGGTCTGACAACCCTAACTGTGATTGGCCCAAGGTCACGTAGCAGACTTCAATGTGGAATCAAACTTGTTTCTACAGATTAGAGTCTGCCATTCTTAGCCACTACACCACACTGACTCTCAAGCACTAGCACTGATTTTTAAGGACATGTTTTTTGGGAGCTGTGGATGAATTTCAGACTTGTATCTGCTTAAGTTTGGGGGTGACCACATTTTTGTCTCAAGACATATGACTTATACCAATAGACCATTAGTCCTTAGATATGTACATATCAAACTGCCTTTCACTGAATCAGGCCATTGGACCATCAAGGTCAGTATTTTCTACTCAGACGGGAAGCCAGTCTCCGGGCTCTCGGGCTGAGGTCTTTCACATCACCCGTTACCTGACCCTTTTTAAATGGGGGGCACTGGAGATTGAGCCTGGAAACCTTCTGCATGCCAAGCAGATGTTCTGCCACTGAGCCACAGCTCCTCCTCAGCTCAGTATTTTGGGTACTCACAGGTTTCGTGGTTCTCACATGGAGGATGGTCTTCCCTAATACCTACCATTGTTCCCTGTAAGCTGTATAGTCTTGTGAGCAAAATTACTACGTTGTGAGCTACTGGCATTAATGTTGTGAGTGAGCTACTGCATAAATTAGTTTGCTTTGGAGTCATCCCTCCTGAGCTAAGACAAAAATGTGTGCGCCGGAGGCTAAAAAACTGTGAGCTAGCTCACACTAACTCAGCTTAGAGGGAACATTGATACCTACTACCCGATCCTTTATCTGAAGATACCAGGCAACAAACATGTGATTTTCTGCATCCAAACCACGTCCTCTGCCACTGAGCTATAGCTCCCGCCTCTGGTTTTGGAATAAAAAGAAAGAAGTCTTTCAAATCTGGATACTAAATCCCACAGTGTCTAATATCTCCATGGAAAAATACTAATGCAATATTTTGTGTCCTTCTATCGAGTGAGCAAAAATATAAGAGGTTGCTAGGTACTCCAGACACAATGGCGAAAATCTCTTACTGGTACTGTCTCTCTCCAGAGATTCAGAACAGAAGATGGGATGTACCACTTTGGCCACATTCTTACCAGTACTCTGCACCAGTTTACTTTCACCCTGTTCCAGTTTTTGAGAAGAGTGGAAATAATCTGATTTAAAACTGCACAATTAAAAAAAATTCCTTTGGGTGCCTCAAATTGCATCCTTAAAACATTTGAGGAGTAATTTTCTAGGGTAATCCCTATTGCAGGAGTGAAAAATGAACAAACCTTTTTTCAGGGCAATGCTGGATAGGTGTTTTATCATTATTAATGCTTCAAATGCACCAATCAGTTCATCACATGGACAAGAGAAATTCTTCCATGATGAGCAAGTAGTTTCTGGTTCCAATCCAGATAACTGTTGATACATCCGTAGGTTGCTGGTCTCCTACTGCTGTGTTTCTGAAGCCCTCCTACATGTTTGGGCACAATTCTGTAATGACCATGACAGCATCTTCAGTCTCATGGGTTGTTAGCAGAGGAGGAAATAGGTCAGCAAATACTGCCCATTTTGCAGATCTCTGATTTGATGCTAAAGATTTTATTGTGAACCCAAGCTCCATAAATTTCCTTAATATAGTCCCTAATTCCAATTACCATTTCTTAAATTCCATAATTATTTATGATTAAAAGTAACATCCTGTCTTTAAGGGGCTAAAGAAAATTAAAGTTCCAGACTACTGTGAAGATCCACCCCCCTAAACCTTGGCAGAATTATTATGGCTCAGAAAGCAAGAGCCAGATAAAATAAAAGTGACCTAGCCCCTTAAAAAAATTCTTTTAAAAACACAAAAGATAACTCTTGATTCAATAAAGGGGTTTTGTGTATGGAGATAGCCTTGATATCCAAGGCTGGGGTAGAAGGAAAAAGTCACTCATCTCTGATTGCATTGTATGCCAAAAGCAAAGATGCATGTTTTAAGATTTGGTGTGTATGTTTTTTATCACAGAGACATCCAAGACAACATATACATCCGCAAAATAGAAAGAAATGCTTTCCTGGGTCTAAGTGCTTACCGTGTTGATATGTAAGTAAAGCCTGCTCAATGTAATTGTTGTGTTCCTGACTGTGCAGATGTTCTTGTGAAGTCTCAGTTTAAGCTAGAGTTGCCATGCAGGGCTCTTTTTGTAGCAGGAACTCCTTTGCATATTAGGCGACTCACCCCTAATGTAGCCAATCCTCCAAGACCTTACAGTAGCCCCTGTAAGAAATGCTCTGTAAGCTCTTGGAGGATTGGCTACATTAGGGGTGTGTCGCCTAATATGCAAAGGAGTTCCTGCGATGTGCCCACTGGGAGTGGGAGATCTCCTGCCCTCAATGCTTTCGGCACTCCAGTGACTAGTGGGAGAAAGAAAATACATTTAAAATCACCATTGGAGACAGCATGATGTCATTGCTAGGGAACCCCCCAGAAGTCCTGTCATGTCTCTCTAGGAATTGCTGAAAATTCTATGGTTTTACCATAGATTATTTGTTTATTATTTATTATTTTCAATTTATATCCTGCCTTGCAGGGATGGAGTTCCTGGTGAACACTAGAGCTGTGATTTAACTGTCCTATGCTTGCAGTTTTATTGTTCAGAGAACTGGGGGAGGTTGAGGGGGGAGGTTAGAAAATTGCAGTCTGTGGATGGAAACTTTTCTGCTGAAGAAACCCTCTGGTAGATCCAAGCCAATAATTGCAGTTATCCTAGGACTTTTACACATTTTTAATCATTATGAGTAAAAGGCATTCTGTATATGCTCAGGGGCTTTCACTCCTTCACACAGGCAACTGACAGCAAGGCAGTTTGCAGCTGATAACTAAAACCAGATACCAGGCTGAATGAAACTCCTCCTGCCCACCCACATGGTCCCTAGGGATGATTTTTGGGGCTCCCCTCAGACACCATCCAGCTGGCTGGTGGGGGAAAGCCCCAACAATCATCTGTGGCCCCGCTTGGAAAGAGCAGGCACTGTGTGTGCCTGCCCCACAAGCCGCAAATCCGCAGCTTAAAGGGCAGGCATGTGCAGTGCCCACTTCCCCCCCCCCCAACCATTTAAAGAGATGGTTCCCTTTAAATGGTTGGGGAAAAGGTGTGTGCATGCAGTGCTGCATCACCCAACTCAATGATGTTACTTTGCATGATGTCATTGTGTCGGGGATGGCCCTGCCCCCTCCCAGAACGCCCCCCAAATCGCCCCGCTGGGGAGAAAATGGGACCCGGCAACCCAAATGGTCTCACCTACTCCCAAAGCAAATTTCCCACTGCAAACAGAGGAGACAGACAACCCCCAAATAGTATAAATCTTGCTTCAGTTTTCTTCCCTGTGTTCTCACTTATTGCTGTGGCCAGTAAAGAGGAAAGAAACAAACCAGAAGAAGAAAGGGCCCCAGGGGTAAAGGTTATGGGATAGGATAGGGGTCCCCAACAATTTTGAGCCTGTGGGCACCTTTCAAATTCTAAAACAGCATGGTGGTTGCAGGCACAAAATGGCTGCCGCACAATGACTGCCCTATGAGGCCCAATGGCTGCTGCAGGAGGCAGAACCAGCCTCAGGTGAAAATCCTTGTGCTGTGATGGCATCTTCCACCAAAGCAACATTTTAAAAAATCTGCACAGCCAATCAAATCTCCAGTGGCTAATCAGCATCCTTGCTGGGTAAAAGCCCACTTTATAAAAACACTGGTGGGGACCAGAAAGAGTGTTGGTGGGCACCACAGATCCCCCAGGCAGCTTGTTGGGGATTCCCAGGATGGAGCAGAAGGTGATGGATTTGGTCAGGAAAGGATTCACTGACTCAGCTCCAGCCATTTTATAGTTGTCCCTCCCCCATTTCTTCCAGACAATCAAGACACAAAGTGCCTGCACATTTTCCCTGGGGCTAGAGACTTACTTTTTAAAAAAGAAAGCTGGGAATGGAGAGGTGAAGCTTGGCATATTTGGGGCCACTGACCACAAATGCTCCCTCCCCCACATGGATCAGCATGGCCAAGCTTCTGTTACTTGCATAGCATTTATTTTTGTACTGTTTACCTGTTGGGAGCTGGTGCCACAGTTTTCCATCCAGTTAGGTTTTACATAGGGTTGCCAGGTCTTCCTGACCACTGGGGGGGAATGGGGGGGTAGGGTTGCCAAATCCGGGTTGGGGAACTCCTAGAGATTTGTGGTGGAGCCTGAAGAGGACAGGGACCTCAGTGGAGTACAATGCCATAGAGTCCACCCTCTAAAGCATCCATTTTTTCCCCAGGAGAACTGATCTCTGTACTCTGGAGATGAGCTGTAATACCAGAGTATCCCCAGGTCCCACCTGGAGGATGGCATCCCTAGTTTTATAGGCTCAAAAACAGGCCTCCTGAATGAATGAGATCATAAAAGCTGAGAAAGAAGAGAAGTGTTCAGCGACTTTCCCGTTCCCCCTCTTCCCTCTCTTGCTTTTTCCCCCTTCAAAGCATCGCAACATGTAGCAAATTTAAAAATTAATGACGCCCAGGATATTCTCTCTTTGCATTTGCAAAGATAGCCCCCCATCATTCAAGTGGTGCTTTAACAGACAGCAGGGCTTCTTCATATTTCCAGTCAGCTGCAGACATTCCATTACTCAGACAAACAATGGCTGGAGACACTGATAATCTGGTACACTTGTGCATAATGTTAAGATATTGTCACAGGCTCCTTCTCGGGGTGGTGTCATGCCGTGTGCTTAGAAGCCTTCTTGTGGTGTGGGAACAATTGGGTTTCTTAATGAAGCAGCATGCATCCCTGATTTGGTTTTTATGGGGTGTGCATATCTAAACTTATACGAAATAGATGCCTCCAGTATTTTCATGGTGATGATCACCATTTGTTTGAAGTTTGCATTAGCGTCGTCCACAGACAGTGGTTCCACTCAAGGACAAGCTGCTGCACAGATCTGAGTTCTGACTTTAAACACTGCTTCTTTGATTCCTCCCTCGTCTTGCCAAATCTCTGTATGTCCTTAGCTCTGATTCATATGCAACCTGAAATGGTGCAAAGGGGTGTGAGGGTAGAATATGGTAGAGATTTTATAAAATGATGACAGGGGACAGAAAGAGACCTTGTTGCAGGTTTACAAATAAGGCCTTCTCCACCTTCTCCAGTGTGAAGGTGGCAAAAGGAGAGGACACCATTTGTAGCACAGAGGCTGCCAGCTTCACTGAGACCCTGAATACTTAGGCAATCAGATCCTCTCTTCCATCGTTGTAAACACATACATTTCCAACAATCAGATCCTCTCTTCCATTGCTGAGGACTGACATGTAAAATGGAAGACCTTGTTCATATTAACTGAGGGAGGGGACCCATTTTGCTTCCTGGTGAAGAGCAAGCCATTTGCTGCAAGCAAAGCCTTTTGTTTTCCATCCTACAGTCTCTTTAGTGTGCCCAATATGAAGCGCCAAATGCAAGTGATATCTTTTACTGCCTGGAAATTCCTGTCAAGAACTCAGTGGCTAGTGAATGACTTCCCCATCTGACTCTTCTGTCAAAGGCTGGAGGCTGGGCCTTAGGGTGTCCACCTCTTGATGGGTTCTTTGCACCTCCACTGGCTTCTCACAAGCGCTAGTGTCAGTGAATGTTTTTTTCTTTCTCGCTTGTCACTTCCAAGGGGGTTACGGAAGGTTTCCTGGTAAGCCCTGATCAGCTTTGACATACATCGAAGATGTGACACCACAGGGCACGTGCCTTTCACAGTCAAAAGGGTAATCTCTCCAACCATGACCATAATTGATTTCCGTGTCAACCTTAGCACACCCTCTCGGACCTTAGATAAGCCTATCGCTTGAATGGGCAGCTTTCGCTCTGGATTAGAAGCCAAGTGTGGAGGTTTTCTGACACTTTAATTAAATGATTCATTGTCAACCCATCACTCAAGCCTGCCAGTTTGAGTTAAGAGTGGATGAGCCTTGCAGAGTCACAATGGGAGCAGGGAAGGCAAATTATGCAGTGGAAGTGATAAATATAACCGACTGTAGGAGATTGTTTGGGACTGAGCTAAGAGCAAGAGAGGGAAAGGCACATTAAGCTTATTGTGCCTTAGGAAAAAAATCCCAGCAGGCTCTGGAGTTGCAAGCTCGGAATGCCTGGTTATTATTGTCATTTTGTGGTTTATGTATCACTTGGAGTGTCAAAGGAACTTTGTCGGCTTTAACTCATTAAATGCTGCTCCCAAACCATAAAGCTTTAAAGCCCTTGGAACTTGCATCTTTATAGAGGGGGAAAGTGAAATGGTAAGTTAACTTGTCCCCGGGGATATAATCGCAGTAAGAAGCAAAGTAAAAGAGAAACAAAATTCCTCAGAAATTTGAGACAGTATTACAAACATTTAAGTGTTTTAATCAGTTAATCGCACTTGAATATCAAATATGGATGGATTTACTTAGGATATTCAAATTTGAAAAATGGTTTTGAAAAACTTGAAATTTTAATCCCAATGGATAAATTTTAATGCCATAATCACCATGTTCAATACTTTTGCCCTTGTTCTAAAAAAAAGAAAATTAATATCCATAACTGGAAATGTTGTACATTTAATATAAACTTAAATACTTGAAAACAAGACTCCCCCCCCATTTATGTTCATTCACCCCCAGACATACAGTGCTGCCTTATATTTAGTTAGAACATGGCCCATCTCGGTGCTTCCTACTCTCTTGCCAAAATTTGAAGACATTTTCAGCCTCTCCGCCTGAGATACTTCAATGGGAAACACCAGAGACCAAACCCAGGACTTTCTGCATGCAAAAACTGAGGGGGGTTAATGGTAACCTAATAAGCTCTTGGCTGAGGCAAGGCTTGAACTATAAGCCTCCTGGGTCATAGCTTACATTTTTAGCCACTATATATAATCAGCTCTTAGCATCTGCAGTGCAAGGCCAACATTCAAGCCAGTGAACTGTAAATCCTATCACTGGAACAGTGTGCAAGAGAATGGGCAAGTCAGTCTGCAAGGAGACAGATGACTGTCAGCATCTTGGGTGATGGGGTAGTTTTACCTTTTATCTTGTCATATGCACACCAAAACTATGTCTGCTGTTCGCTCAGGTTAGGGCTATGAATACAGCTGTGAGGTTTGAGTTAGGGACTCCAGTGTGTGGTGGAGGGAGAACGTATTATTACTGCATGTATCTGGTCCAGAGCTCAGCTTCAACCCCATGGACAAGGCTTCTGAGCTCCCTTTATATCTTCTCCATCCCCCCCCCCACACACACACACACACCACACCCAGTCATAACTTGGTCTCCAATTTCATGTCCAAGACCTTGATCAGAAATTGTTTTGAAAGGCTGATGAATGAAGGCTGGAGGACTAGCATTGGATTACCAAATCTAGTTACCTAATCTGAATATTATGCAAGTTGATTGGTAATCATGCAACTCAAACTAATTAATTGTTTTGCTATTTAACATTTGCCTTCCATCTTCTCTTAATTACTACAAAAACAGGGAAGGTTAATAGAAAGTATCTCTCTACCCTTGGCAACCATCCTCCCTTGTTTATTTCTTCCTTGCAGATATTTACATTTTGACCACTCTCTCATTTCATTGAGGAAGTTTATCTATGGCAGACTCTTTGTACAGTAATTGGGGAAACATAAGTCGCATTGTTTGTGTCATCACTTTTATTTAAGGCTCTTTTATGGTTGCAGAATGTGGCCATCTTTGAGTGGGTAGGGAGGAATATCCATTGAATTCATTTAACCATTTCCAAGAATGTATACCTTCCTACTGTAGTTCACTATATTTGATTAATTTTTGACACAACCCTACTTTTTAAACTATTGAAAATATTTATTTATCTTTATTACAGAAGGCTGAATCAAAATGGAATACAAGAGATTGAGAACTATGCTTTCAACGGGACTATCTTGTTTGACCTGTAAATATTTATTTCTAATTTGGCTATTTGGGAGACGTTTTGTGGGAGACATTTACTGCAGAAAACATGCTCATTACAATTTTTAGTATGATTACTGTTGATACTGTTCCTTGGGCATATTTCTTCTGTTTCCTGATCACATAAAATGTGACTTAAAAACATTAACTGGTCAATTCGTATCTGAATTTGGCTGATATACATGCAGTCAACTGTCAATGTAGATTGGGAGTTCAAGGAGGACATGATAGAGTCTGTTGTCCACCAACCCTTTCAGCTTGTTCTCAAAATTCTACTGCTCTGTTTGTCCCATCCCCCACCCAGAACAAGCAAAATACCTGTGATCATTCTGGATGAAGGTCACCTATGGGTGAAGCTAGACAACATGGGGGTCATGGATCTCCCTGTACCCCTTAAATAGCAGTTTAAGCCCTGCAGGGAGGAGAGGACATAAGAACATAAGAAGAGCCCTGCTGAGTTAGACCAGTGGTCCATCTAGTTCAGCATCCTGTCTCACACAGTGGCCGGTCAGTTCCTTTGGAGAGTCAACAACAGGGCAAAGAGGCTGAGAACTTCCTCTGATGTTGCCTCCTGGCTCTGAGATTCAGAGGTTTAGTGCCTCTGAATGTGGAGGTTCCCCTCAGTCGTCATCACGGCTAGTAGCCATTGATAGACCTATCCTCCACAAATCTATCTAATCCCCCTTTTAAGGTGTCTATTCCTGTGACCATCACTACATCCTGTGGCAGTGAATTCTGTATTTTAATCACTCTCTATGCAAAGAATTGGAGCTGCGGTGGCTCAAGTGGTTAAGACGCTGAACTGTAGACTGTAGAAGGTCAGTAGTTCAGCAGTTCGAGACCCGAGTGTGCCGCATGACGGAGTGAGCTCCCGTCTCTAGTTCCAGCTCCTGCCAACCTAGCAGTTCGAAAGCAAGAAATTGCAAGTAGATAAATAGGTACCACTTTGGTGGGAAGGGAACAGCGTTCCGTGCGCCTTGGTGTTTAGTCATGCCGGCCACATGACCATGGAAACGTCTTCAGACAGCGCTGGCTCTTTGGCTTTCTACTTGGTTTTGTGAATTATCACCACTGTTTCTCCCCCATGCTGTTATTAGCCCATTAAGGGGGGTAGAGACACACACCCTCTTTGCTTATCTCATTCCTTTGATCTTTAGCCTTCTGCCAATTCCAGTCTTCAGAGGTGACTGTTGGTCTGAGTACTTCCCCTGAGTTCAAAGAAATCCCCTGTGGCAGGTTCAACAGTGGAATACAGCTGAGGCTGGGGAGGGCACAGGGCAAGCCAGAGAGAAAGAGGCTTCACATTGATTGTCTCACTGAGGACAGCACCGTGGGACAATGGGGGGCAGAGGGAGAGGTCTCCTTTCCTCTTCTTCTCTGCTTCTCCCCTCCCTTTTTGTAATGTCTTGCGTCTCCCTGTTTGGTTTGTTTATTTCCTACATCTGTGTTATGACCACAGTGCTTCTTATAAGTCATGCTTGAACAGAAGAATATTTGTACTCTAGAAAATAGCATTTCATTTCCTAGGTAAAAGTAAAGGTTCCCTTGCTCAAAAGCCAGTCGAGTCCGACTCTAGGGTTGCGGTGCTCATCTCCGTTTCAAAGCCGAAGAGCCAGCGCTGTCCGAAGACGTTTCCGTGGTCATGTGGCCGGCATGACTAAACACCAAGGTGCACGGAACGTTGTTACCTTCCCACCGAAGTGGTACCTATTTATCTACTTGCAATTTCTTGCTTTCGAACTGCTAGGTTGGCAGGAGCTGGAACTAGAGACGGGAGCTCACTCCGTCATGCGGCAACTCGGGTCTCGAACTGCTGAACTACTGACCTTCCACAGCCTGCAGTTCAGCATCTTAACCACTTGAGCCACCGCAGCTCCGTTCATTTCCTAGAGCTGATCAAAAGAAAATCTTTATGGTTCCCAGTTCTCCCCCCACACGCTGCAGCAATGTTTTTAGCGTCACCTGTGAAAGCTGCCAGTTTGGCCACTCAGAATGATGCCATGCCTGCATTAATATATATCTGCAGCTCCGGTGTGTTCTTGATGTTCTTGGAATTGTATCCAGCCAAAGCAATCTGCACTCAAATATATTCCTGCCCCTGATCTGTCATCTGTGCTGGTTCTGAAAAGCAACCAAAGATAAAAACAATCTTTAACAAAGTACACTGGGAAATGTATAGGTCAATAAATATGATTGTAATGATGTTATGCATTCTAATGTTCTTCTGAATTGACTGAGCATAATAATTACATGTTATTTTATATTTTCACAGAGATCTGAAATGCATTATTGTGAACTTTAGGCATTCTCAAAATATTTTGCTTGGTAAATTGGGGGGGGGG